TTTTTTGCATCAGATAGATGTATTGTTTTATTTTAAAAACTGTTTAATGTTATATTTTCCATATTATTTTGTTTGAAAACGTATTTTGTTTTATTTGAAAAACTGCGTTAGTTTAATACCAAATGTATTATTTGAAAAACGGTTATTTAGTTACCTATATTTTTATTTGAAAAACGATGTTATTTTATTACCGAATATTTTATTTGAAAAACATTTATTTTGTTACAAAATGTTTTATTTGCAAACTTTTATTTTTTTCTTTTCTTTCTTAACACCAACAGCCATCTCGACATTCAAAGCTAGAGAAAGCAGATATCTTAGATATGTCTGTAAGATATCTTCAAAATATTCAGAGACAGCAAGTGGCAGGTAAACCTCGTTGTGTCTGTGTTTGTAACGATGTAAAAACAGTAAAAGATTCGACCAGAATACAGAGCATAGCAAAAATAAAATCAGAAATGAAAAGACGTAACAAGATTTCTCAGAATTGTTCTTACTATATCATCATCTATATCCAAAGACAGTTTTGTCGGTTTGTCTGACTTCGTGAAAAACTGTACCAGAGCTATTTGCAGTAGCCGTTGCTAATTTTGAAATGTTGAATAGCAGTCATTATCACCCACCAACAATTATTGGACTACTCTTATCAGATAGTATAGTGAGATTCAACCATCCACTCAGTAGCGGATCTAGGATTGTGGAAAGGGGGGTGCGGTCGTCTGGATGGGCGCCTTACATCATTTATATCGATGCAGCCATATGATACATCAATCTTAAATATCATATTATAAATTACTGACCTGTAACTAAGAGAGGCAGGAAATAAAATATTTTATTGATATTATTTATTGTTAAAAGGGGCGCACTTTAGAGCGAAGGGCGCACAATTATGAAAAAGGGGGAGTGCGTTCACTTATTAATTAATTTATTTTCAGTCGTTGGACGACACTAAGAAATACGTTTATATGACTTTGAAATCGAAGGACGTTGTTTAATTTATATACTTAACGCACATAGAGCGAGCGTTATGGAGAACGAATAAAACTGGGGATCGCTTGATAATATACGAATAACAAATCTACAGGTCGCTCAGCGGATAGTCTGAGGGTTTTAACGCTTAAAATTGGGTTTCAATACTCGAGGTGAGCACAGCACGGATTAGCTATTGTTTAGCTTTGGTTGGACACTTCATAGAGCTATTTTTAGGTCGAAAGTGGACTTGGCGGAGCGTTTTATATGCCCAGAAATACTTAAATATCGCAAATATAATTATTCCAAAATGGTTGCCATTCAATTTGGACATGTTTACAGCAATTTGCTGATTTTATTTTTGCCGTAGTGCCTGGTCTGTTATAATTGTTGTACTTCACACTAACACATAAATAACTTTCTGAAGCTTTCCCATAGACTTTAGGTAACTAGGTTTCAGACTATAGGTTGTAGGATTAATAAACGTAGGACCGATGCACTGTAGGGTCATTGGGCTATAAGGGTTACTAATCATAATAAAAATACATTATAGGGCTGTTTAAAAATTAATAGTTATAGGATCCATGCACCGTGAAGCCATTGGACTGTGGGATATCGATACAAATCTATTCAGACTAACAGAGATCCGCAAAACTTTTGCTGTCAAATTAGTTTCTTTATTGCAACAGTATTTCTTTAAGTACAAGATATGTAGAATAATACAAACGAAATATAATCGTAGACACCGAAATGTGTAACTTGTAAATCCATTTGTATTTAGGCCGCACTTTATAAAACCTTAACTAATGTTAGGCCTAAGTCCGATAAAGAGATAACACTGTACCGTGTACGTTTTTTTTTACATTAGCTTTGGTAGGACTAAACTATACTGTACTTGATACTATCTATATATAAAATTATAATGTTATTCTAGGACTTAACGTTAGACCTTTTTAAAAACTTCAAGCTTTTAATGTTATTGTACTAAATGGTTAATAAAGAATATTTATATATACAACTTTTTTGTTATTACTTCATTCATAAAACAGTTATAGTGACTTGTTCCTTGAGCTTTCCAGCCATCTGGCGCATGCAGGCGCTTGCATTGTTTTTCTGGGTAAACTTTTTACTGCACGTTTTTATAAAGCTACCAAAAACAGAATTATAGTATGATAAGATTTCGGTGTCTGCGATTATAATTCTTTTGTATTATTCTAGAAATCCTGTATTTAACGAAAGGGTGTTGCAATAAAGACACTAATCCGAGTGCAAATGTCTTCTGGGTCTTAGCTAATCTATTATAATAATAACAATACCAAGTTTTTGTTTGTCATGATAATGCTCGCGCACCTTACTATCTAAATACGCATGTGCACACACGTCATTTCCGTAACAGTCACAACAACAAGCACATTATTATTTAGATATTTGCGTAAAGTTATTTATACTTGTGATGTTTCTTACCTCTATACCTTGTAAGTGTACAACCACGAATTTTCTCTAGTGTTAGCTGGTGCAAAGTACATCTGAAAAAAAAAGTGTTTACATGAATTTGTTTCTTATCTTCGCGCAAAACTACATATGGGCTACCTGCGCTAGCCGCCCATAAATTTTAAATTAATAAACTGGAAGAAAGGCAGCTAGTCAACTGTACCAACCACCAACTCTTGGGATGCTACTCTAATTAATTGTGGGATCTAACCGTCACTCCTATAATACAACCATGGCCCGAAAGTTCCGAACGTGATTTTGAGGCAACGGGGCGCGAACCATGGATTCTCGGATTCGCCTACCAAACGCTAACCTTTAGGCCGCCCGACCACACATATTTTATTGATATCACTTCTCCCACACTTTAGTGGGCTTATTATTAATAGTGACGGTCAGTCCCTAAACGCGGATGGTGAGTAGTATGGTGCTGCTAATTGGCTGCTTTCCTTCTGGTCAGTGGTTTAAAATTAAGGACGGCAGCAGATAGCATTGGTAGTATTAGCTATAATACAGATGCAATGTATTTAATATCGCTGTTACTTGTATAATATTTTCTTCTAAAGTCCCCCCCCCAGTGGCACAGCGGTATGTCTGCGGACTCACAACGCTAGAAACCGGGTTTGGATACCCGTGGTGGGCAGAGTACAGGTAGCCCTTTCTGTAGCTTTGTGCTTAACTTAAAACACACAATTCTTTTAAAGTTTACATCACTGTAGAATCCCAATCCGATAAATTACTTATTTTGGAAATAAACCTAAATATCTTCCACTTTTGTTAAAATTCTGTGTCCTGTAATTAACAGTGAAACATACATATACGTCAGTACCAGTAAAGTACGCATTCTTACACTATTGTCAGAAAATATATACATATATATGATGCTTTCGCCTTTTTTAAAAAAATCAATTTTTTTCCCCCAGCTGCTATTGCTACGGATCCTGCCGTGTTTAACAAGTTCAAGGCGGGATTCAACGAGTGTGCCGCCGAAGTCAGGCGTTATGTCAGCCAAATAGAAATAGACTACAATCTCCGGCAACGTTTATTGAGTCATCTGGGGAACACTATTGCACGTCTTGCAACTCCCACCACAGGTATGACCTTCTCTTTCCCAGAAATAAACTGCTCCCTTTCAGATATTGTTCATCATCTACAACGTTTGGGAGTCCAGATACCAATTGGAATTCTAGATACTTCGTATGGAAACCTGGTGCCACCTAGAACGGTACAGAATATTCCCCCGGAAAAAGTCATTGATAACAGTAACAATGAACCAAAAGCTTCTAGTTCGATTTTAAAGTCTTCATCAACATTAACCAATATCGAAAAGATTTTGGAAGGTCTTCCTCTCATTCCAAGTCGTCTAACAAATGGAGACATTGCATGTTTGCTCCCAAGCAGAGCCCTGTCATCTGTTCATAACCAGTTTTTAAATAGTCTTATTTTAGATTCTAGAGCTACGAATCCTTCAAGTTTCGTAGTTAACACAAGTAACAGCACCACCTCCAGCTACTTCCTTTCTCCCTGGGGCTCTGGAATATCATCCGAAGTTCCACGTAGAAGCACTAGTGTCAGCAGCTCACTAGATTGCTCAATTAGTCCTTCTGCAGGCGATTCTTACTCTGACGTCCTCACAGAAACTTTGATGGCGCCACCAAAAGAATCTTCACGTGCAAGTAATCATTCGCCAAAAGATCTTTCACTTTCAGCTGAAGTACGAAATGGTGTTCAGAGATCTTCACTGACACCTTCTAACACCTCTGTCTCCTTCGCCACGAAAATAAGGGGCCAGTCTTTGATCAATAAACAACAATATTCCGATTCCTCGAAAATTGGTAACTTCGTCAACAACAACAACAACTCAGTCGTCGACAGGTCGACCATCAATCACATGGAAAGCTTTCAAGCACATACTTCCTTGCAGAGTCTTAGAAAACTGACGAGTGGACATACTGGATCCTCGAGTGGTTACACAAGTTTCAAGTCCGACAGTTCAATTACCCACAAAACAAAAAATCAGGATTTCATTAGTGTCCTTTACCAACCAACGGATGAAGCTGTTTGGCGACCTTGGTGATCAAATTTTCGTTTGTGTTGGGTGTTGATCTCATTTAACAATCAAAACATCTTATTAAGAATGCAAAGTTTAAAGATTTACTCATTTCTTTGTGTAGTAGCTTTATATTTTTGCAGTTAGAAAAATTGTTTTTCGAACAACCATTGCGGGTGAAGGGTTCGAATCCCTGTCAAACCGACCATGCTTGCCCTTTCAACCATGGGGGCGTTATAATAAGACGGTCAATCCCACTATTCGTTGGTAAAAGAGTAGTCCAAAGCTGCCATCACTGCTAAATTAGGGACGGCTAGCGCAGATAGCCCTTGTGTAGCTTTGTGTGAAATTCAAAACAGTCCAACCCAATTAGAAATAATTATACATAATTTAAAGTATGCCCCCACAAATCATTTTAATTTCTAATTTTCACGATTGTATCATTTTACTAAAAATATAATTGTATGATAATAAACAAAAGGTTTTGAAGTATTTATTATTCAAGCTGTCGGTGTTCTGATTAACGATAATTAGTCCTAAAATAAAAACTTAATGTAATTTCAACGAGGTATTATCAAAGTTAATTTTCTTGATGGTCAGTTACGTTATTATTATTTATTTATTTACCCAATAAACGTGTTATTCAGCTTTAGCGAGAAGCAAATGTTCCGTAACCTCAGTTACTTTAAGTCCCGCGGGGTGGCTTGTCTTGTTTGAAAAACGACTTTTATTATTATTACTGTAATTCGTACTACAATAATACAGAGATTGAATGTCCGATTACAGCTATCACATTTTGAGTAATCACAATACGATTCATCCGCGATAATTATAGTATCATGTAATGTTAAAACTTGCTTAGTTATAACCCAGCGCCATCTATTGAACATTGTAAAACATTAATAACGAAATGATAGCATGTGAGATATTGTAAAATGAGTTAATTAAGGCAAAAATAAAATACTTAAATTAATAAGAGCATTTTTTTGCATATTTATATTTTATCTGTGAAACAGTTGGCAAAAATACCTAAGACTACAGCATTTTGTTTTCAGACTTACGAAAACCAAGTCACAAACCTAGGCGAACCATCAACCCTTCAAATCTATGTTTTTGTTTATATTTTCGAGTTACTAATTAAAACAATTCTGGTTTATTTACTAATTATAGTGTATTATAACTCAGGATGAAATAATGTTTCCTTTCAAATTGTTATTAAGTCCTGGATAAAGCAAAAATGAAATTCTACAGCAATTTGTATCACTTTGTTATTGGGTAGTGCTAGAGTAACTTTGCTTGAAAAATATTGTTACGTCTCCGTTTGTTAATTAACTTTCCGTAACCTCGTTCCGATGAAACTTTAGCGACACAAGTCCTTACTTAATAAAACTGGTTTATTCTTTCCGAATATAACTTTACGATACACTTAATTTCAATATTCGCGCTAAAACAAACACTATAACAAACGAACGTTAACTTCAACAATACGTCTCTCTCTGACTGCAGTTCAAT